ATTACCATACTGTCTTTATGAATATGGCTTTGCAATATAGTCTAATACTATTTCCCTGGTGGTCCAGTGGTTAAGACTGCACTTCAATGCAGGGAGTACAGGTTTGATCCCTGGTTGGGGAACTAAGATCCGATATGCCCTGTGGTGCAGCACGTGGGATATATAGCTGATTCACTTCATTGTACAGCACTAACTAACACAATATTGCAAAGAAATTACACTACAACCAAAAGAGCTAAAAAATAAAACTATTTATCTGTGTTTCCTTTATTCTCCTTCATATTTGTTTGTTTTCTACCTTTTTCAAGTATCAGATTTTCTTTTATTGAAGATATCTACATTTTTATTTTCTAGTGCATTAAGTTTTGCTTTAAAAAAACAAACAAGTTTCTATAAAAACAAACAAACAAACAAATTTCTCTCCTGCCCCTGCCAAAAAAAAAAAAAAAAAAAAGCTCTTTCTATTTGGGGAATTTATTGTGTCATTCTTTTTTTAAAGTTCTTTTTAAAATTATTTATTTTTGGCTGTGCTGGGCCTTGGTTGCTGTGCAGGCTTTTTCTCTAGTTGCGGCATGCAGGCTTCTCATTGCAGTGGCTTCTCTTGTTGTGGAGCACGGGCTCTAGGTCACACACAGGCTTCAGTAGTAGCTGTGGTTCCCAGACTTTAGAGCACAGACTCCATAACTGTGGTGCACAGGCTTAGTTGCTCTGCGGCATGTGGGATCTTGCTGGGCATTGGCAGAAAGATTCTTTACCACCAAACCACCAGCGAAGACCTATTTTGTTATTCTTTTTCAAGTATCTTGAGTTAAAAATTAAGCTTCTTTCCATTCAACCTTTCCTATTTTTTCAAAATAAATGCACTTAAGTCTATATACTTTTCCTTTAGGGAATTGCTTTATACCGTACCACAATCTCAGTATGCAGAGTTCTCCTTGTTTACTTCTAAACCGCTTGACTTTCATTTTTTTTTTTCTTAAATTCAAAGTTATCTAGAAAGATGGTGAGAAATGTATATGTTGATAGCTCTTTTTTGGCTATACTTTCATATTTAAATCTAACTTCATTTATTTATTTATTTATTTTGTGGTCAGAGCATTGCTTCTTTTTAGAATTAGTGGAGGTCTTATTGGTAGGCTAACACTTTGTCTATATTGGTTGATAAACCCATGTTGCTGTTGTTCAGTTGCTCAATCATGTCTGACTCTTTGTGACCCCATGAACTGCAGCACACCAGGATTCCCTGTCTTTTACCATATGCTGGAGCTTGCTGTCCATTGATAAACTCATAAGTGTCCATAAAGTCTTCAACTGTTTGTCCTGTTAACTCCCATCTGGGTTGTAGGTTCTATTTGTTAGACTTTTCTCTTCCATGGTATTATTGATTTTCCTGCCATGCTGATGATTCTGGGTTGTGGGTTCATCTTTGCATCTGTTAACTATCTTTGGATGCTGCTTTTGTTCACACTGGGGTGGTTCTGTTCCTGTGGGCATTGCGGAAGGTAAGATAGTCCCAGTGAAATGAGCAGGACGCTGCAGGGACCTCCAGATACAAAAGCTCCTCTATATCCCCAGTCTCTTGTTTATTAAAAAAAAAAAAAAAAGCTGTAGATTCCCAAGCCTCCCCTGAGTCACAAAAGAGCAAGCTCAAGAAGTTAACGATTAGAACAACAGTCACAGAATCTTTAGTTCCTCCCTGAAGGACATAGATAACAGTTTCTGATGCATATTCCTGTGTTGTTTTGCAGATACTAAAATTGCCACCAAATGAAAAAAGTTAACTGCATGATGACTGCATCCAGATTGTAACCATGACATAAGCTGCTCCATCTCGCACAGATCAAGAACTGTAGGAACAAATCAGCTCTGGAACTGAAGATTAACTATACTTAAGACGTTACAGAGTTTGGGATGGACATGTACACACTGCTATAATTTAAATGGATAACCAACAAGGACCTACTGAACAGCACAGGGAACTCTGCTCAATGTTATGTGGCAGCCTGGATGGGAGGGGAGTTTGGGGGAGAATGGATAAGTGTGAGTCCCTTCACTGTTCCCCCAAAACTATCACAACATTGTTAATCAGCTATCAGTTTAGTTCAGTCACTCAGTCATGTCTGACTCTTTACAACCCCATGGACTTCAGCACGCCAGCACTCCAACTTCCAGAGCTTGCTCAAACTCATGTCCATTGAGTCAGGGATGCCATCCAACCATCTCATCCTCTGTCGTCCCCTTCTCCTCCTGCCTTCAATCTTTCCCAGAATCAGGGTCTTTTCCAATGAGTTGGCTCTTTGCATCAGGTGGTCAAAGTATTGGAGTTTCAGCTTCAGCATCAGCCCTTCCAAAGAATACTCAGGACTGATATATTTTAGGATTGCCTAGTTTGATCTCCTTGCAGTCCAAGGGACTCTCAAGAGTCTTCTCCAATACCACAGTTCACAGGCATCAATTCTTCGGCACTCAGCTTTCTTTATGGTCCGACTCTTACATCCATACAAGACTACTAGAAAAACCATAGCTTTGACTAGACAGACCTTTGTCAGCAAAGTAATGTCTCTGCTTTTTAATATGCTGTCTAGGTTTATCATAGCTTTTCTTCCAAGGAGCAAGTGTCTTTTAATTTCATTGCTGCAGTCACCATCTGTAGTGATTTTGGGGCCCAAGAAAATAAAGTCTCTCTGTTTCCACTGTTTCCCCATCTATTTGCCATGAAGTGATGGGACCAGATGCCATGATCTTCATTTTTTGAATGTTGAGTTTATGTTATGTTGAGTGTTAATGTTAAGTGTTAATCGGCTCTACCCCAATACAAAATAAAGTTTAAAATATATGAAAAAGAGGACGCTGACCAGAAGACCACTGCATGACCAATTTCAAGATGATTGTCAGAGCTAACCCTGTTGTTATGCACGTAACTCCTGCCCCACCTATGTACCCATGAAACTCCCCTTTAAAACCTCTTGCCCCTTGATTGGCAAGGAGGAGTTGATTTTTTGGGATATGAGTCACCTTCTTCCCTAGATTGCAAACTTCCACAATAAAGCCATAGTTCCTTTTACTCATCTCTCAGTACTGTATTCTTGAGACATGAGCAACCAAACCTGAGTTCAGTAACAAACCATTAATAATGCTATTTTACAGCTGAAACACAGAAAACAGACTAGCTTGCCCTAACTTGTATACCTGTAAACAACAAATCCAGGCCTCTTGTCCCGAAGTGCAGACAGTTCTCAGGATGACCCATTGCCTGCCCAAGACTTCCTAGTGCTGACCAGCCCACTCCCGATTCCTAACCCCCAGCAAGCAGACAACTCAATGTTTTATGTATTTCTCTTCTTTTTACTCTAAAAAAATCCAGTTGACAATAATAACCTGCAAACCATAGAAAGCAGCATGGGTTTCAATCTCCTCGCCCCTCTAAACATCATTCTACATTCCTCAGACACCATCCTTCCCCCTTCCCTCTAAAATCTTAGATGAAAATCTAGAAGCCCCCAGATAGAAGGGCCCCAAACCAGGACCCCTACGTCAGGTAAAGGCATTGAGGAAATAAATTAGGGGAGAGGAGGCTCTTAGCTGTCATCGCCTCTGTCCCGTGGGGCCTCACAGACCCAGCGGTAGGGCCTCGGGCAGACGTCATCATTCCAGCGGCCGTCTTCCGTGAAGTGGGCACAGTCCTCACCCCCTCCGAGCCCGTGCCCATACCAGTCGTCTGGCTGCTCTGGCGCCCAGTTCCTAAAGAGACCAAAGAGATGCGGACCCCAGCGCCTGAGACCCTGAGCCCAGCCGTGGACCCCCCAGCCCCTGGGACCTGCCAGGCTGGGATGATGGACCATAGATGGAGGGGCAGAGTCTCGGGGACGCACACACTCACTTGAAGCCTGTCTCGTAGTCCGTCCCGTCCACCCATTTCCAGGGCCCATTTTCATCCGTGAGGCCTATCCAGGTATTTACAGGGCCCATGTGGTGCTGGATAAATTTCTGGGGAGAGAGGAGGGGTTGGTGACCTCTCCTTAGACCTGCCAACCTCCCAGCCGGGCCCTACCAGAACCTCACCTGCTCCTCCCAGGAGCCCACCACCACTAGGTGGGCGTTCTCTAATTGGCAGTACTTCTCTGCCTCCGGCCAGGGCTTCCCGGAGCGAGAGAACCAGTAGCAGCTGCCTTCATAATCCATCCAGTTCACTGGGCAGCAGGCCTTTTCAGAGCCTGGGGCGGGAGGCAGAGCGGGTGTGAGGGGCTATGGGGAAGTGGGTTGGGCAGGCAAGCAGGACTGAGCAACCCCCACCCCCTCACCGTTGCCCTGGAGGACAGACATCTGACAGCTCAGGCTTCGGAGGTCAGACACAAACTGCTTCACGTGGAGCAGCAAGCTGGAGTGATCTGGGGAGACAGAGGGCAGAGGGGGAGGGGATGAGGGTAGGGGAAGGCAAGGAAGTCACGAGGAACACTGGGGGCTGGGAAGGTTCTGTCATCTGCCTGCTGGGGCGTGAACACAGATCGCAGATACTTCAGCCACACTGCCCCTTGGTTTGGTCTGAGAGACCGCGGTATCCCGCAAGCGCATGCGCACTCACATCCCCCCGCCCCGCCCCCGCCTCCGCTGACCTGCATTCAGTTCCTGCTGCTGTCTCTCCAGCTGGGACTCCAGGGACTTCATCTTTCTGCCCACATTTCCTCCTAGGGGAGAGACTTGCTCAGTGTCTCGATGGCCCTACTGTTCCCAGCCCCCCAGCCCCAGCCCCAGCCCTCCTCACCCTGAACGCTCAGGGCCTTGACCTTGGCCTCTGTGCTCACTGTGAGGTTGCTGAACGTCTCTCTCAGGGCCCGGAGCTCCTCCTGCAGCTTGGAGTCTGGGCAGAAGAGGGTGCGGACAGGACAAAATGAGGGGGCTGCTTCCCACATCACAGCAGCCAGCTCTTCCGCCCCCCGCCCCCCCCCCCCACCATCACCTTGCTCCCTTCCCAAACACCCCCTACCCCCTGGGGAACCCACTCTGGGATCCGATCACACAGAGAACTACTAGCAGCAGGAGGCTAAGGCCCACGGAGACCAGGAGGAGGCTGGGTCCGGTGCAGAGACGCCGACTGAATGAATGAGGAGGAGGCGGCCCTGCAAGAGAGGAGGTCAGGGACTCAGGGACAGAGGGGAGCCTAGGGCAGCTCTGGGGTCCTAGGAGGAGGGCAACCTGAGCCTCCTGTAGGAGACTAGGAGGAACTTTATGGATGAAGAAATCTGGGCGGTAGGTGACCGGGAGGAGCTGGATGCATCGAGAGGTGGGAAGGGGTGCGAATCTTTCTGCTGGAGCCCTACCCAGGCTCTAGGCCTTTGCTGGCACCTAGTGGCCGGATCGAGTCACTGCCGCATCCGAACGCAGAGCCTGGAGAATGGAGTAAGCTGGAGGCGAGGGGGCGAGGGGGTCTTGCAGGTGGGGCAAGAGAAACGGGTTTCTTGCTCTCCCCGTGGATCCCACTCCTCTTTGTCTGGGCGCAGGGAGGCAGAGTAACAAGACTTCAGGTCGACCAAGTTGTGCCCACCCGGGAGCCCTGTTTTAGTGAGCTGAAATGCGGGGGCTTCCCCTCCGTTTTTGCTGGTAGTTCATTCCCCAACCGCAGGGCACTGCCCACTCCCTTCTACCAAGCACTCCATCCTGGCTCAGCCCCAACAGAAACATCTCTACTCGCAGGAGAAAGAAAGAGGGCTTGACTCATCCTCCTCCAGTCAGAGCTCCCTGAGGCCTGCCACAGAAATTCTCTCCTTGACCCAAAGGATCCCTGACACCTGTGCACTCATATATACTCACACTCACACACATACACTTGGCCAAGGCTCACCGGTGTTGGAAGAGGAACGAAGAAGAGGGTCTAACTTCTTGCAGTTAACTCCCACATCCCCTGGGCAACCCCCTCCCCAGGGTCCTGAGAAGTTGGTGACAAGGCTAAGGGCAGGGGGGTCATGAAGGAGCCTGGGGACAACTGCCACCAAGACAGGGTCTCCAATCCTACACCCTGCACCTCCCCTAAGAGGGGCGGCTCAGACACTACCAACCTTGTGAGCCAGGCAGACCCAGGGAGAGGCAGGGTCAGGGGAGGGGGCGACAGCCATCTAATGCTCGCCTTTCAGAAATGGGGGGAGGTGTCCCCTCACTTTTTCTGTGCTGATGGTCATTCTCCTCGTTGTCCAGAACCTGAAGATCTTGATACTCCTTTGTCATGGTAGGGCCGGCTGGGCCTGAGACCAGGTCAAGGCTGGGGTTAGGGCTGAGGCAGGGGCTGAAGAGCTGGGGTGTGGGGCTCGGTCTCTTTCCAGGTGATCAGTGACTGCGTGGAGATCTTTCTTCTTGCTCCTGTTCCCTCCAGGCCTGACATCCAAAATCTATCTTCTGAAGTTTTTCCACTCTGTCTCCACCCCTCCGGACGTGGATTCCATTCATCCCCTCCCCCACCCCACTCCACAGCTAGTTCCTCCACCTCCTTTCTTCCCCCCAACCCCCTTTCTTCCCCTTTTACTTGCCAAAGGTCTCAAGGTTGACTTGTGGGTCCCTCAATGCTGCACAGATCCCAGGCTAAGAAACAGGCTGAAGCCTGGAGAAAGCACAGACAGCTCTGGGTGGTGGGAGGGGAGGGGGCAGGGTCCATTCAAAGGCCCTGAGCCCTGTGTATCTGCCTGTTTGTGTGACTGTGTGTTCAAACACACCAAACCTGGCATCTCCAGTGCCCAGGACTTTGGACGTAAACAGAGGTAGAAATGGATTTGGAACTCAGGGTGGGTGTGGGGGTGGGAGCAGAGATGGGTTGCCTCACCTTTCCTTCCCAGGGATGGAGAGTCTACTTGTTCTGTTCCCCATCCTTGCATGCAGCCACCCCACTCAAGGAACTGTTTGGGAGAGGTCCAGACCAGGAGGGGCTGGGGTGCAGCTGGCTGGTTCCCCTCTGCCCCACTCCCCTTTCACTTCCTGTCTCTGAATTTCCCAGAACTGTTGATCTCTCCAAATATCTCTGACCAGGATCAGAGGGCCCGAGCTCTGCTCTTGCCCAATCCAGGCCTATGACCCTGGCATCTGAGCCTGGGCCCGGCTTCCTGGGGCTCAGTTACCAGACACCCCAGCCTGGGGCTGAATGGCTCTCCTGGGGAGTAAAGTCCTCCAAGCTGCCTGGGGGGCAGGGGGTGGGGGTGGCAGGAAGGCAGGCTTTTCCCCACTCAGCTGGATTGGTGCCAGCAAACCTCCAGTGACTCCTGTGTGCTTCTCCCTTGTTGCATGTGTCACCTCAGTCATGTCAGACTCTTTGCGACCCTATGGACCATAGCCCGCCAGGCTCCTCTGTCCATGGGATTCTCCAGGCCAGAATACTGGAGTGAGTTGTCATGCCCCCCTCCAGGGGAGCTTCTCAACCCAGGGATTGAACCTGTGTCTCCTGCATTGCAGGTGGATTCTTTATCCACTGAGCCACCTGGGAAGCCCTTTCCCTCATTACCTCCTCTCATTAGCCCCAGAGCATACCCCTATTTGATTCGGAAATGAGGAAACTGAGGCCCTGAATGGTAAGAGTTTACCCAGAGTCCAAACAGCAGAGGCAAGCCTGGAATGTGAACAGCCGGACTCCCGGGACCTGTGTGCTGCTCCCAGAACCAGGGTCCCATCCCGTCACCACAGCTGGGCCCTGGGGTCCCAGAGATACTAAAAGTGATCCCTCACAGCCGCATGGAGAGTTCATGGAGGGCTAAATCCTGGGAGTGTGTGGATTGGAATTATGCTAAATTAGAAACTGGGCTTCCCTGGTGGCTCAGTGGTAAAGAATCCTCCTACCAATGCAGGAGTCACGGGTTTGATCCCTAGTCCAGGAACATCCCACTGCCAACTAAGCCCAGGCATTGCAACTACGGAGCCTGTGCTCTAGAGCCCACAAGCCCCAGAGCCTGTGCTCCACAAGAGAAGCCACTGTAATGGGAAGCCCAGGCCCCACTCGCTGCAACTAGAGAAAAGCCCACACAGCAACTAAGACCCAGCATAGCTAAAAATAAAATAATCAATTAATTAAAATTTTTTTAAGAAATGGGGCGATGTTAATGACATTAGTAAGTCTTGCTTTAGCCCCCAGATATGACATCATGGGAATCCTATGTTATGGTTACTTCAGTGAGAAAACTAGACCCGAGTTAGAAGAGTTTACATTATGTGAGATATTCAGAACACGTCTGAATATTCAGATATTCCAGAACACGTCCCTTGCATAAAATAAGAAGCCCTGGCTGCACCCTCGTTTGTGTCTTGAAAAGCTTCACATTGTTTGCATGTACTGGGACTATGGCCAGTAATTTTGGTGACTACTGGGCTGTTGATTTCGCTTGCTCTGATATTATCAGTTACAATCTGCTTTATTCAGGCAAACAAACCTACGCTGTTTCGGTCAGAATACCGGTTACCCTTACAGGAGTGAGGATTGGAAGGAGTTTCTGGGTGATGGAAATGTCCCACTGCTTGATTGGGACGCCGGCTGCAAGGTTGCAAGTTTGTAAAACTGCCGAAACCCATACACTGAAGATCTGTGCATTCTTCTATTTGCATATTATACTGGAATAAGATGTTCTTATAAGCTAGTTCTATGCTATAACCATGTTCCCAAACCCATTGCTTAGGGAGCCGTCCGTGAACCAGTAATGAAAAACACCCCAAAGTCAACAACTTTAGGGTGAGAGAGGTGATGAAACACCATGAGGAAAGCCAGATAAGCAACATGATACACCCGGTGGCTGACTTACAAGCCAGCTCTCTCTGTGAGACCAGAGATAACCCTGAGAAACCAAGAAATAGCTAAAAACAAAACCATGACACATGGTGGTAGACACATGCACCGAGAGAACTCTTTACATCTATCCCTTTAAGAATATATACCTTGGGAATTCTCTGGTGGTCCAGTGGTTAGGACTCTGTGCTTTCATTGCAGCGGCAAGGGTTTGATCCCTGATTGGGGAACGAAGATCCCGCAAGCTGTGTAGCACAGTAAAAAAAAAGAGAGCGAAAATATATACTTTGCAAGGTCTTCAGAGACAGAGCCTCATGTGTTCATTTTCTATCGCACCCCAAACGTAGTGGCTTGAAATGACACCCATTTATTAGCTCACAGCTCTGTAGGGCAGAAGTCCAAGAGGAACCCCAGCTGAGTTCCCAGCTCAGGGTCTCATGAAGCTGAGATAGAGGTGATGGCAGGACCATATTCATTTCTGGATGCAAAGGAGAAGAATCTACTCTCAAACACATTCCAGTTGTTGACAGAATCCACTTCCTCGCAGCTGTAGAACTGAGGTCCCCATCTCCTTGCTGACTGGTGGTCTGGGGCCACCCTCTGTTCCTCGAGGCCACCTGCCTTCCTCATTACATGACACTGCCCCCCGCGCACCCCGTCTGCAAAGTTAGCAACAGTGCCTGGTATGCTTCTGGAACTCCAGATCTCTCTGATTCCCCCTGTGCTCATGGGATTAGATTAGGCCCACCTGGAGAATCTTCCTGTCCTAAGGTCAGCCGTGTACACAACATACACAAAAGCTTAAGAATGGGAGTCCAAAGGACTTCCCTGGTGGTCCAGTGGTTAAGACTCCATGCTTCCAATGCAGGGGGTGCAGGTTCAATTCCTGGCCAGGGAACTAAGATCCTGTGAGGTGCAGCCAAAAAAAGATCTTTTGAATTAAAAAAAATTTTTTTTAATTGAAAAAAAAATCAGGGGGAAGTCAGAGGTGATAAAACACTTTGAAGAAAGCCAGATGAAGGACACAATACACTGGATGCTGAATTACAGGTCAGCCCCCTGTACGATATGTATGGCTATCTGTAAGTTTCACTACCTACAACGTAATGATTGAGAGAGCGCTGGCAGCATGCTCACAGGTGCTGGGGAGGACAGCAGGATTGTGGGAGCTGATTTTAGAACTCCGCTTCATTATGCAGAGCGTTCCCTCTGAGTCCTCTTCCCCTCAGGATGCAGAGAGCAATTCAGAGAGCCTAGGCTCCAAACCTGGGAATGCCACCTCCAGGGTGGTCGAGAAAGGCTCCCAGAGGAGGTCTGTGAAGCTGGTCTGAAAGAACAGGAAGGATTTTATCAGTTGTAATAATCAAGTTTCTCTTCAGTGGGATAAACGGCCAGAGGGGTGGCTTGGGCCGCCCTGAGGAGAGCCTCGAGTCTCAGGGGAAGGTAGCCTGAATGTCATTGAGGAGCACAGAGGTCTCCTGACTGGGAGGACACGCGCCCCCGGGGGTCACGAGATCATCCATTAAGCGAGTGGCAAGAACATTTAGGGAATTTCCTGCCGGCCCAGGGGTTAGGACTCCATGCTCTCACTGCTGAGGGCCTGGATTCAATCCCTGGTTGAAGGACTAAGGTCTCAAAAGCTGTATGGTCCTGCCAAAAAAAAAAAAGAACCTTTATATATATTTTTATCTCTTTTCTTTAGAGGTCTACTTGGGGATATGCGTTATAGTGTACATAATAGACTTGTACAGTGGTATATGTGTATTATTGATCTATTGCTGTAAAATGATCCCTCAAAAAAAAAAAGCAATTTAAAACAAGGAATAGTTATCATCTCAGTTTCTGGGGGTCAGGAATCTAGGTGCAGCTTAGCCAGTTGGTTCTAGCTCAGAGTCTCTTATGAGGTTGCAGTCGGATGTCATTCAATGCTTCGTTTGTTTTGAAGACTTGACCGAGACTGCAGGACCAGCTTCCAAGGAGACCCACAGGACTGGCAGGTGAGTGCTGACTGTTGGCAGGCGGCCCCTCCACAGGACTGCTTGAGAGCCCTCACAACATGGCAGCTGGCTCCCCCCAGAGCAAATGATCTGAGAGCACAAGGTGGAGGCTGCAATTTCTTCTATGGCCCAGCCTCAGAAGTAACGCTCCATCATCTCCACAATGTCCTACTGGTTCCTCAGTGCAGAAGGGAAACGCCAAGAGTGTGAATGCCAGGGGGTGAGAATACTCAGGGGTCATCTTGAAGGCTGACTCCCACAGGATGGCCAGAATTATCAGATGAGTGAATATACACTGGGGGATACTCACTTAAAAGCATTTTACTGATGTTGGCACCTGAACAACAAAGTTAAAGACTTTAACTTTAACTTTAAAGTTAAAGTCTTTAACAAAGTTAAAGACTACAGCAGCCCATGACATGTCAACCCACTCTAGTATTCTTGCCTGGGAAATCCCATGGGAGGAGGAGCCT